CGAGGAAGATAAACAGCTGTAGGTGACTGACCAGATTAATGCTCCCAATAATTTGTCCCTCCCTACAGTGGGATGAAACACTGCTATTTGTCATGTGACTCTCCTTATCATCCTGCATGGAGAAAATTCCTCTCTGGATCCATGTTAGGTCTCCCTTTATGCTTTGAGTAAAGGCATGGGAGCAGATGTGACGTCCCTCAAGCTTGAAATGTTAATGTTATTACATGGTTTGGCTCAGAAGTGGGTCTCCCACTTCAGCCTATAAGAAACACACATTCCCGTTGCTGCTATACAGTAGGAGCTAAATATTCATTGACTTTTTATTATGCACCAGATACAGCCTCATATGCAACGTATGTCTACATGTGTGTAATCATTAGTGTTAACTGTCGGCTGATAGAATAGAGAATTACCCAGGAAACGGCCCTCTCAGCATGCCTGTGGAGAATTACCTTCTTTCACAAACATATTTATTTTTATTTACATAGGTCATGACCTGCACAGCTTAGGGATTGACCTAACTGGATCTCTGGGGGATGAAGAAATGACAGGCACGCACACAGAAAAGCCGGGATTGGGTAGGCTGTACACTCTGATGGAGATACACCAAGAGCCTGAATATTCAGCACATTTATTTTATGCAGCGAATGAGGAGAAGGCTGGTTAGCTAATCTCCATGAGTTCCAGGAGATCTAGCAGCCTTAGGCTGTAGGTGAGCAATCTGGAGGAAGAAGCTGTGGTCAGCGTCTAGAGGAGGAGGGCTGCGGTCGATACTTTGTGAACACACTGGCTATAGCTAAAGGTTAAAAGTTCTCGATACTTTGTGAACACACTGGCTATAGCTAAAGGTTAAAAGTTCTCGATACTTTGTGAACACACTGGCTATAGCTAAAGGTTAAAAGTTCCTGAACACCTTTAGTTTCGTCAGGGAAAGGATTTGCCATTTCTATATATCTGAGACATTGCGGTCCTTGATATGGTTGTGCTCATAACAACGATACACATTCACTCAGGATTCTATCTGCTCCTCATCTGGGATTGAACCTTGGTTCTCTAGAAGAGCAGTTAATGTTGTTAACCACTGAGCTACCTCTCTGTCTCTGCCTGCCCCGCCCCCCCAAACCCCCTCTGTTTGTGCGCATGGGCACTCGAGTGTTTGTGTGGAGTAAATCACATGTGTAGGTCAGAGGACCACTTATGGGAAACAATTCTCTCCTTCCAATGGTGCTTTCTGGGGATTGAATTCAGGTCCTCAGACTTGGTGGTAAGGTTTTTCTTTTGTTTTTGTTTTGTTTTTTGTTTTTGTTTTTGTTTTTTTACTGTCTGTTTCATCTCTCTTGTTCTGGAATGAGTATTTTGTCACAGCAACAAGCAAAGACAGTAAGACAGTGTGTTATTTCATTTTATCTTCAAAAAACACTGAAGCTTGGGTCCTGTGGTTCTTACTGCTATTTCGTATAACCGCAGGTCACCGTGGACAAGCATCTGGCTCCCCGTTGCACTGCAGGAAGGGGCAGTTTACCTCTTCTGCCCACCTTCTATGTTGTTTCTTCTTGAAAGCAATCTACAAATGCTGGTTAAATAAGCATTTGTTTAATGATGGCCACTGGTCTGGAGAGGCGGCTCAGCGGTTAAGAGCACTGACTCCAGAGATCCCGAGTTCAATTCCCAGCAACCACATGGTGGCTCACAACCATCTGTAATGGGACCTGATGCCCTCTTCTGGTTTGTCATGAAGACAGCTACAGTGTACTCATATAAATAATAAATAAATACATCTTTTTTTTTTTAAAGATGGCCACTATGACACCAGTATTCCCCTCCATTCACGAAAGTGTTTCAAATGCAAGGAGCACAATGTCTCTTCAGACACACCAGAAGAGGGCATCGGATCCCATGACAGGTGGTTGTGAGTCACCATGTGGTTGCTGGGAATTGAACTCAGAACCTCTGGAAGGGCAGTCAGTGCTCTTAACCGCTGAGCCATCTCTCCAGTCCCCATCTCATTTTTTTAAAATCAATAATAGTCCCAATTGCATAATCAGGAGGAAGTTATTTATGAATAGTACAGTTATTATATGAGAACACCAACATCTTCCCTGTAGGGCCCATATGAGCCACAAGTTATCTCTTACCAATTCCATGTGGATTCCAGGTGTTCATCCCGAGGGAGCAGTGTCTCCCCAGGTCTCCTTTTTTTCAAGTGGTCTCTCTCTCTCAGGCCTCACAGGTTCACTGGTTCTCCCCACAGCTTTGTAAACCAGCATAAACTTGGCTTATTTCTGGGATAGTCAGCATCGATGTAATACAAACATACTGACCAATTGCCGTGTGCTCTTAACCTTTATTGAGAAACTGGATGCAGGGTGGATTCCCCCCTAGCATTCTTGACCCAAGCATTCTTTTTTTTTTTTTCTCTTCGAGACAGGGTTTCTCTGTGTAGCCCTGGCTGTCCTGGAACTCACTCTATAGACCAGGCTAGCCTTGAACTCTCGAACTCAGAAATCTGCCTGCCTCTGCCTCCCAAGTGCTGGGATTAAAGGCGTGTGCCACCACCACCCGGCAGACCCAAGCATTCTTGTATAAAGTGTCCACCAAAGCCCCTTGTCTGGGGAGGGCAGGCTGGCCCCTTGCTTCTGTGACTGGCAGAGAGTAGAGCAAAATAATCCAAGAGTAAAAACATTGTGCTCTTGAGAACAGGTGGAAGGTGCACCTTCCTCAAATGTTACTACTGTTTGTCCCGTAGAATAATTCTGCCTACAGTGTGAACAGGAAGCCAGGAACTCTTTGAGGAAGACACTGTCAGTGGAGAAAGCTACAGCGTGACTGTCCCCTGACCCCGCCCCAGGCTTCTGCTAGATGTTGTCAGCGTGATCTCATGATGCCTACCCTGCATCTGCGACTTGCTGTTGTTCTTTTACTTTTGCTTGCTACCTGCTTAACATCACTCAGTCATTGGAAACTGGAAGTACAGGGGCTGGAGAGACGGCTCCGTGGTTAAGAGCACTGGCTGCTCTTCTAGAGGAACCAGAGTTCAAATGCTCAGCACCTTGATGGCAGATCACAATCATCTCCAGTCCCTGGGGGAATTGTTCCGCATGCCCTTCTGACTTCTACAGGCACTGCAGGTATATGGTGCACAGACATATATATATGCAGGCAAAACACCCTGAATAAAATATAATAATGAAAAATGATACATAATTTTTGTACATAAAAGTAATAATGAAAAATTAAAAAGAAACAGAAAATATAGCTGTCGTAGAACAAGCTATCATAGAGTAAGCGACCATGTATGCATACTGATCTAAAGGAGAACCTGGTTCGCCTGTCAGTAAGCTAGGACTCTTCTTTCTGTTTGGACTGGTGGCTTCTGTTGCTCCCTGGTCATCCCTCTCAGCCCTCCTTCTGGTCTCTTCTGCACTGTTCTTGTCTGCTTTTCTCCTCTCCCTCCCTTTCCATGCCAGCTGTGGGAGTGAGGCCCCAGAGCTGGCTGGCTAGAGGCACACAATGGGCCTTTAGTCTGGGCAAAGAATCCCTGCAGTGTATCCCACCCACTGAAGCCCTCTTCCAGGCCCAGGGTGGTGTGGGTGAGGGGGCGGAGCAATTGGCTGGCAGGACAGGGGATGGCCTGGGCTGTGGAAAGCCCACAGGGCTTGACTATGTAAACAGCACTCACAGAAACAGCCTGTCTTCTACTCCCAGCTCCATGTCTCAGAGCTGCATTAGTTCTGTGCTTGTAAGCATTTACCTTTGTCCTTTCTCAGTCTTGCTGTTAACAACTGTATATTATTATCTCTCTCCTTCTTCCTTTTTCCGTCTTTTTCTGAGCCATTCCCTACCCTCCTGTAAAAAAAAAAAAAAAAAAAAAAAATTCTTTTCTTTCCTTCCTTCCTTTCTTTCTTTCTTTCTTTCTTTTTTTCTTTTTTTTTTTTTTTGTAACACAGAGTTCCTCCGTGTAGCCCTGGCTGTCCTGGAACTCACTCTGTAGACCAGGCTGGCCTGGAACTCAGAAATCCGCCTGCCTCTGCCTCCCAAGTGCTGGGGTCAAAGGCGTGCGCCACCACTGCCCGGCCCCTTCCTTTTTTTTTTTTTTGAGACACTAGCTCATGTGTATCCTGGTAGCCTGGTATGTGTCCACTTGCTGTGTAGATAAACTGGCTTTGAACTTGCATTGACCTCATTGCATGTGTCTTGGAAGGGCTAGGATTATCGATGTGAATCAACACCACACACCTGCTCTCTCTCTCTCTCTCTCTCTCTCTCTGTCTCTCTCTCTCTCTCTCTCTCTCTCAGGCCTCACTATGTAGCCCCAACTGTCCTGGAACTCACTATGAAGATCAAGCTGCCTTTGCACTCACAGAGATTGGCCTGTCTCTGGCTCTCGAGCGCTGAGATTAAAGGCATGCACCACCACGCCCGGCTCTGTGTTCATTTCTTATTTCATTTTATCAAGCTATCTATTTCTTTAAAAAAAAAAGATTTACTTATTTTTATTTTATATGTATAAATGTTTTACCTGCATCCACGTGTGTGCACCATGTGCATGCCTGTTGGATGCCCTGGAACTGGGGTTATGGTGCCACCATATGGGTGCTAGGAATCAAACCCCAATCCTTTGAGAGCACACAAGTACTCTTAACCACAGAGCCACTTCTCCAGCCCCTCATCAAGCTGTTTCTTACTCCCACAGGTCCCTGAGATTGGTATGGGGGTTATTCTCCCCACTTTACAAATTTGGAAGTTAAGGCATTGGTTGCTGGCACTACTGCACATTTCTCCTTTTCATGCACTGACTGTGCTCTCGTCCCTGAAGGTGCCCACCTACCACCTGAATGGCCGGGCATCTAGCACCTTGGACAGCTCCCGCAAGGTGCGGAGGCGCCCGTGCCTTCCTTCTCGCGAGCGCTGGTGGACCAGCCTTACGAGCTGAGTGGGAGTCTCGCGAGAGTGGTTGCAGCAGGCTGGGAGGCACGGGAGCGCGCGGGCCCTCCTCGGACGCGCGCACACGCTCCCCGCCCCCAATCCGGGAGCCGCTCGCGGCTGGCTCCGCGCCTGATCGCCCGGTGCAGCGCAGCTCAGCGCGGCGCAACCCGGCTACGGTTCTGCAGCCGAGCGGTCGGAGCTGGTGAGTCCTGGGCCTGGGGACCCGAGGAGGGCTCTGCAGGGAAGCTGCGAGCTGGGCTGCAGAGGTGGCAGCGGCTCCGCTTTTCTGCCTTCAGAGCATCCCTTTTCATTTGAGAGGGTAGGTCGAGCTGCTGGGGAGGTGGGGAGACGAGGTGACCTTTCGTGCTTTGGGTGCTGAAGCGCTCCTTGGACACCCCTAAACCCTTCCCTCCATCTCTGTTTCCTCATTCTCTGTCCCCGCAGAGGGAGCCCGGGATTTGGGTGACGTCAGGCCCTTGGATGGAGCCTGAGCCCCACAAACCCCGAGTTCCACCTGGCATTCCCTGCCAGCCGGCCTCCTCCTTTTGGGATGGCGCATGCGGCCGGGGATGGGAACGTCTGGAATCTGGTGACCGTGGTATCACAAAAGGCACCTGCAGGTGGACCCAAGTTGTAGTCACTCCTGGGAGGCCGCCGGTCTGAGCAGCTTGATTTTTGGAGGAGGGGGATGGGTGCACCCTAGGGCCCGGATACCACCAGGGCTTTGGGAAGTGGGATGGGGGTGCTGGGTGTAGCGCCTCCAACGTTAGCACCGTCAGTCACGAGGAAGGAGGGGAGATGTGTAAGAACCAATCCCTGTCCTTGCCTTGGGGTTCTCCTGATCTGGAGTCTGGGGGAGTCAAGTGAGACTAGGACTGATAATTGGTTGTTAAAGACCCACTTGAGGAGATCAGCAAAGGCCAGGGCTGGAGACAGGGACAAGCGGCAGCAGCTGTCAGAGGAGACTTTCTGGAGGTGGGGTTTGGAAGGAGGCAGAGGCGAGAGAAGGGATCGCAGGGTGGTAATGGACAAAGTTCAGAGGTGGGCATGAAGCACTGCTGCCCCACCCCAGCCTGTCCGTGGTGTGTGTGTGGGAGGGATGGTCTAGAGAAATTTGCAAGCCGTGCGTTACCCATTATGTCTTCACCATCAGGACGGTGAAAGAGGGAGACGATTCTGGCAGGGCCATGGTTGGCAGAGAGATTTTGCTTGGGGTTGCTAGTTTAGCTTCTGTGGGAACTTGGAAAGACAGGACCAGTTCTCCATTGCTGAGAGAGAACCATGTCACGAATGGGCCATCGAAAATGGAGTGTTAATAGAGGAGATTTAGGAGTCCTGGGACTTGTGGCCATTTCTAGTTTTCTTTCCTTTATGTTTTTAAATTGACACACACACACACACACACACACACACACGTGTTTTGCCTGCGTGTATGTGCACCAATTGTGTGCAGTATTCTCAGACAACCTGAAGTAGTTACATATGGTTGTAGTGTCCTCTGGAAGAGCAGCCAGTGCTCTTAACCACTGAGCCATCTCTCCAACCCCAGTATGGTTGTTTCTTTAGCCCCCTTTGGCTGGACACTGCGGAACAAGTTGATATCCCTCTCTGGGTATCTTTCTGCTAACACTTTCTCTAGGGACAGGGTAAGTGGAATAAGTAGTGACCTCCCTTGAGGAAATGACTTGTTCTAGTTTAAGAGAATCCTCTGAGTTCTCCCTTTCCCCTCTTCCTCTCTGCCTGGCTGGCCTTGTCTCCAACAGATTTCCTCTCCACGCTACACTTCCCTGCTTTGCTGTCAGTTTGGGGTCCGAAGCTTTCCTGAAGGAAGTGTGAGGCAGCTGGGTTAACAGCAGCGCTGGCCTTTGCCTGTTTAGGGGAAGGCATCAGTCTTCTTGGGGAGGATATCCAAGCTTTGGAGTATTAAATATGGGGTGATTGTTCTCAGTGTGGGGCTTGGTATGCTCTGGCCCCATCTGAAATCTTCTCTCCACCATAGACCTGATTTTCCCTACTGCAGGGCCTGTCCCCTCTAACTTCATACTATGAAACAGAACAAATTAGCACCTGGGTTCAACCTCCAGCTTGTGTGGAGTCCAGTAGGAAGGCACATGCCTGTAATCCCAGCAGTTGGAAGGCTGAGACAGGAGGATTACTGGGTATTTAAGGTCAGCTTGGGCTACTGAGCAAAGCTCTGTATCAAAACAAAACGGCCTCCACCTGTGAGGGATGAAAGAAGAGACTGGCTGGGTGAGCTAAGCACCAGTGACTGCTTTAGAATTTATGCAGTGGGATGCAGAACAGCCATGTTTGGGAAGGGTCACAGAGGAGGTGTGGGAAGTGATAGGGTTAGAGAAGGCGATAGGCTGCTGGCTTGGGGTCACTGACTAGACATGGTATTCTCCAAAATGTTGTGTGTATAGAAACTTCAGCCTGTGGTAGAGAGGGAGGGTTGTGAGCAGGGAGGAGGAATTTGCAGCTGATTGGCAGAAAGCTTCAAATGCCAGGTGCAGGATCTGTACCTGCAGGAGGGTACCACAGCGTCATCAGCAGCATGATGATAGCACACCCAGGAGAGTGCTGGGTTTTGAGGGTGATTCATAGCTCTGGGCTTCAGGACTGCAGATGGGATTGAGATAAGGATTGAGGGTCAGAGGTCAAGCAGGAAGTAGAAATGAATGACCACTTCTGTGCCAGAGATGAGGCTCCTGTTGGCAAGCTGAGGACACTTGGAACTAGTCTTAGGCCCTTGGCTGGACCTGGAGCCAGGCTTGACTTCCTTTCATTTACTGTGGACTTTTGTTTTTATGATTGCAGGATCAGTCAGACACACTAAGGGGTTGAATGAATTACCGTCTAGGTTCGTAAACAACCTTCATTCAGGTTCTTTTGGATCAGGTGTGGTGGTGCGTGTCCGTACACAGCAGCTGGGAGGCTAAGGTAGCATTGCTGGAATTTCAAGGCCAGTTTGGCCTAAATAGTGAGTTTCAGGCCACCCAGGGATACCTAGCAAGAGCTCGTGTCAAAACAAACTAAAACTAAACCAACGTTTCAGTTATATATGGAATCTTATTTGATAATAAGATGCTTTATTAAGCCCACATTTTTTTTTCAGGAGCATTGTAACATGCCCCCTTCATCCCCCTAATTACAAAAGATTCTCACCTGAAGAACAAACTGCTAATTCTCCATCTAAGAGCTTTGGTTATAAAAGCCAGTGATATCTTTCATTTCCTATACCACTCCTTTCTCCAAGAAAAAGGTAGCCTAGTCCTAAGGATAAAGGACCCTGCTCTTAACCACTGAGCCATCTCTCCAGCCCCAGTGTGATTTTTTTTTTTTTTAGCTTCCTCTGGCTAGTCACTGCTGAACAAGTAATACCCCTGTGATCTCAACTTTCTGCAGCTCTTCCGAGTCCTTAGTTTCAGAAACAAACCCGACTTCTGCCCTGGATCGTTCACACGCGGCTTTATGACTTCTCTGTCATGATGGGTCAGGCTGGAGTCAGAGTTGGGGGAGCAGCCGCCCTTGAGACTCTTATAATTTAGTTTTTACCTCCAGTTCCCTACTTATCTACCTTGTTTTTCCAGAGGCCTTTACTTTGGAAACAGGCTCTCATTCCGTATCCCGTTCTGTTTGGGGAAGGCGGTGCCCCCTCAGCACCCTGGCTTGTTCTCGTTGGCCTATGGTTGCTCATATCCGTGGGTTCCCTGCCCTCAATCACTGGACCGTTTTGCCTGTGTGCTCTATGGAGAAGCAGATCCCTTTCTGGATGTTCCACTCGGAATATAGAAAACGGTTAGATTGGGGCAGTGTGACTCTGCTTCCAGCAGGATGTCCTGTCTTAGCTATAACTTTCTGTCATTGAAAACACCTAAAAACTCTTCCTCACTCTCCTCAGCTCTTCAGTCTGTTCCATGGCGGGAACATTCCGACCTGGACTGGAAGCCCAAAGTCTGTTATTCAGGTAGAGGGTGAATAGGGAGATGGGAGAGATGGAGCCAGGCCTGTGGTTCCTGCCTTTCTCTGTCTACTTGTTCTTTTTAAAAATAAGAGCGTTAAAATTTTAACATTTTTAAGGTATGGGTGTTTTGTCTGCTTATGTGTCTGTGTACCGCTTGCATGCATGGTGCCTTTGGAGGCCAGAAGAGGGTGTTGGATCCCCTACCCTGGAGTTAGGAACAGTTCTGAGCTGCTGTGTGGGTGCTGGCTGGGAATTGAAGTTGGTCCCCTGGAGGAGCTGGCAGAGCTTTTAACGTGTGTTATCTCTCTAGCCCTTTTCTTTTTCTTTCTTTCTTCTGAGACAGGGTCTCATCAAGTAGCCCAGGCTGCTGTCTAATCCATATTGATTTTCCTGCCTCAGCTGCTCAAATGCTGGGATTATAGACATGCGCTACCGTGCTGGGCATTTTTCATGCATCTCTTGAATTCTAGCAAGGAGGATCCTTGTGGAAAGCCCTGCACGGTGTGGTGGATACTGACCCTTTGTGTCTCCCAAAGTACCACTGGCCATCAGTCATGTCCCTCTGCTGCCTCTTGAGCCTCTGTCCTTCTTTCTTTGATGTCTTCCTCCCAGTTTGTTAATGTAGTTATGTTTCCTGACCTGGAAGAAAGCTTCCTATCCAGTGGCATAGCTGCTGTAGTTTTGTTCGGGTCTCATTCTGTAGCCCAGGGTTCACTTGGGCTTTTATTTTTTGCAGGTCGTGAGGGGTATATGAGGAGGACTTTTATAGCACAGGATGGCCTGTAGCTCACTGGGTAGCTGATAATGACCTAGATTAGGTCAACTCCTTTGTTGCTGGAATTATGGGTGTGTCCCACCACACCCATTCTGTAGGGTGTTGGAGACTGAACCCTGAACCTTCTGCATGCAGACAAAGCTACAGCCCCAGACCTTGCCTTGTTTGGTTTTGATATGGGATCTGGCCACCTGCTTTCTTCTCTCAAGTGCAATTACGATAGGCATGCACCATTGAGCCTGGATTTTTTTTTATATAAAAGATTTTACATTTGATTATGTGCAGATGTGTGTGTGTGCCTGTAGGTATGTGCACGTGAGTGCAGGTGCCTGTGGAGGTCAGAGGCATTGGGTCTCCTGGGGCTATTACAAATTGGAAGCCACCTGATGTGTTTCTAACCACTGAGCCATCCATCTCTTTGGCTCCTTAATTCATTTCTTCTTCTCACTCGAAGTTTTCCAGTTTCTTGGCAGCCTGGTTCTAATCTCTGCTGCTTCCTGGAAGCTGTGACCTTCTGACTGTCAGGTCAGCCTAAGTCACACCCGACTGCTTCCTGACCATGGCCGTTGTTGACCTAGCT